TCTATAATGGTGATAATAACACTACTTGCTTTATAGGGGCTTTACTAAGACTCAGCTTAGGACAGTGCCTGATATACTATCCCAAATGTTTTTTAGCCTCAAAATGAAAAAGTCATGGAAAGTATTGTGGTGTTGGCAACTCACCAATAGAGCCTGCCTTATAGTAAAAGAATAATAGCAATAGTAATCCATACTGAGATGTCGTATGTCATAGTGTCAGTACTGATCCCAGGGTCATCTGGGTCACTGGGTACGCATTGATGTATTGTTTACTATTTTATTTCTTTTATGCTTTTCCTTGGAGATTTCCCCTCTTACATGATTAAAAATAACTGCTTACATGTTAAACCCACCTCAGTTTGAAATGTTTATTTTTTAAGGCAAACACCTACTTCTGGGTGTAACTTCCACATCAAATATTCAGTGTGTAAATGAAAAATGTGAGTCATGCAGTACTTGGCACCTTCAGCTTTTAATATTTGGTGGCAAACTTCTGATAGAGAGGAGGGATTTCAAAACGAAGCCCTTTCAGATCTAGGTGGCAGAAGATTTCTTCAGATGAAGTATCTTCATTCTTAATGTTGATTAGGACTAGTAATTGTTTGAATTTTCTCCTCCTATTTTCTCAGCCTGTTAGGCCTCCATGGGGACAAAATTTAGTTCAGAATTTACCACTTTTGTGCAGAGTGAACCTCTGCTTTTGGAATGTGCTCAGCTCTAAGGAGAAGAATAATATCTAGTAGCCTATTAAACTCACAGCAAATACAAGACAAAATATGTGTAGGCCAACAGAATACTTGCAAGGCATCTTTCTGCCCATTAGGAGAGCTTGGTTTGCTCTCTGCAGTGATCGTTGACAGCCATGAACAGGATACAGCGATTGTGCCATGTGATATACATGTCTGAGTTTTGTTTTCTTGGCCAGGATCTTGAAGACTGTTTCCAAAATAGGTGTTTCTTCCTTGGCAGCGGATTTGGGTTCTCATGTTGTCAGCTCTGTCTTTTATGAAGTGGAGTTGAGCTGGGGTTTCGGGAGAGGGGCAGAGTGGCTAACATTAGCATTTCTTCCTATAGCACATAATTTTGAATGGAGTGGAACTATTGCCTGAATTGCAAATGTAGGAAATTCTTATAAAACATACTTTGATCTGACTTTTAGTTATATAAGGGAGAGAAATACGAAATTTGGAGAACATGGTAAAGTAGTTGTATAGAATATGCATCAGTGAGGATTTCAGAAGCAAAGTCAAATTTCATTAGTAAAATATCTTGGATAACAAGGAAAAAAAGAAATCAATGTTTGGTAGGGGCTTGATGGTTCCTTGCAGCACTAGTGCTTCGGGTGCCCAGATGGGCCCAGGTATGCTGGGCCGCTTGGGCTGCGCTATTAGTCCCAGCAGCTGCAGGCAGCCTCTAGGGAGGCCTGAGGTCAGGAGCCTCCCAGGGTCAGCCATGAGAAATGTTCATGGGTGCCCTGGCCAGATGGCTCGGTTGGTTGGAGCATTGTCCCGTGTACCAAAAGGTTGTGCATTCAATCCCTGGTCAGGGCACATACCTATCTAGGTTGTGGGTTCCATCCCTGGTTGGGACGCGTACAGAAGGCAACCGATAGATGTCTCTCCCTCTCCCTCTCCCTCTCCCTCTCCCT